TTTCTTTTCCCTTCCCACTTGGATTAGGAAATCCTTCTGGTTTGGATCTAGGCTTTTGTAACAGAACAGAGAAATGCCTTTGTATGCCTTACAAAAGGGATCTGTATTCATGTCTGAAAAGACCTCTGGAATGTTGGCACACCCAAACACCTCTGCTGCTTCTGCTGATGGCCCCAGGAAAGCCAGAGCTGCTTCTGAAGCTTTTGCCGTATTATCTTGCCACAGAAGTTTAAGCCTCTCTATTCCATAAGAGCTATCGGCAGTATTTCATGTGCGCGCGCACGCACACTCGCTCGCTCTCTGCATATGTATTTTTAGTTGTTCTTTTATATCCCTGCAAAGATACATGCTCATCACAGAATCTGGCAGTCAAAATTTCCACTGTCTGGACTATTAAAAGGAAACATCAGAAAATAACAATCTAAATAAGTTCTTCTATTTCAGGTCTTCTGGCTTAGTCATCATTCCTTTATGGATGTTGTGACTGTTTCTTATGTATGTCCTTCTCGTTGCTTCTCTTATTAATGCAGCTTTTGCTGTTTAGAACATCAGATATTTACCAGCATGTAGCAACTTGTGGAACAGTTTTTTCTGATTCCGATTAGAAGGTGTCAATTCTAGGACTAATACTGGCTACAATAGCTTGAAACAATTAGTTGATAAGTTGATTTTTTTATTTTTCCTTTTTTTCCCCCCCCCTTTCTCAACATACGCATTGTTACTGTGTGCCAGCAATTTGACCTACCCCAAATTCGGTACTCCTGCATCCAACGGTCTGTCTTCAGGAGGAGGACTGGGTGGTGGCGGCAAGATGAGACGGGAAAGAGGCGTACACTATATATCAAAACCTGGACAAGAACAACAGGTATGGGACTCTTAGGTTAATTGCTCTCACTGAGATTACTGAGGTAACTCAGTACGCCACTTTTATTGCCTAATAGTAATTTATAATAATGCCACTTAGTTCTGTGGGTTTTTTTGCTTGGGTTTCAGGGCAGGCTGCAATTATTTATCTGTTTAAATGCCTTGACTTTGGGTTTGTTTTTTTGAAATCTTTTGTCATATTATCTTGGAGATGCTTCATACTATAAAGTTTCTCATTAGCAGTTGAATGAACAAATTTTGGTGGAGGTTTGTAGAGTTTTTATAAAGGCATGATGTTTGAAACAAGTGCCAAGTAAGTAAACAAAGTTTAATTTGTTATTTCATATTTAAGTCATGTAGTAAGATACAGGCCAAGAGTCTGAAGCAGAAGACAGTGTTCTGCATGTCTGCTAATGATCATTCACAACTTTTGGCACTTACCTAAACACATTGTGAGAGGGTTTTTTTCTTGTTTTAGTGGGAAAAGTCCATTTAATAAAATTATGGTCATGACTATCCCAAAGATTATTCTTCTGATTGGATGTTGCGTAAGCTGCCTACTACTGGATCTTAAATATAAAAAATTTAAATCAGTCTTCTGGCTGATGCAAAATCAAGAAATAGTAAATACTGGAGAATGTTTCTATAATACAAATAGTCTGAATATCAAGGTCTAATAGACTGTTCAAATCAAAACTGTACCAGGTGTAAGCTGTAGGATACATTAAATTTCTGTACTAGCAAGTTATATCTCTGCTTAGTCACTTCTGGGTAGATCTTGGTACTACTGTGCAAATTGTGATTAGATTGGCTATTCCTATTTAAACCCTAACTAATCTAATCTTGGTAATCAAATAGTTTAAAAGGCAAGGATAAGACTAGAAGTTTTTAAGGTACACTGGTTTCTGAGTTTTAAATTTGCATCCTGATATATGATATAGACTAGATTTACCAGAGTATGATCTTCTATTTTGCTAGTCAGGCTTTCTTTTTTGGCATTTTGTGCTTTGGTTTGGTTTGGAGTTTTTGGTACTCTTAAGGAACCCACATACTTTTTTAAGCGTTACCTTTTTCCAAGTTCACTGCAGTAGTGACTTCAGAAACTTTGGCAGCTTTTTTTCCTTTTTTTTTTTTTTTTTTTTTCCCCCCAAGAGGAAGACTTTCTCATTTGTCTTGAGAGTGTACTCTTAATTGAAGAGATGAGAGGATAATTAGAAAGGATGATGTTTCTCTAGATCTTTAATAACTAAAGTACAGAAAACAAAAATAAATCTGATCTGTGCCCCTCTCTGTTCTGCACAGGTAACAATTTTGAGCTGACTTTCAGTATTCTTACTGGACAGGTGATTAATGTAGTATCACATGGAAACAGGCCTGCCATAAATTAAAATGATGTGGCAGACTGAGGTGGAGAGGATTAGGATGCCTTTTGAAAACTTGCTTTGTCTTAATCTATGAATGTGTCTGTTGTATTTAACTTTGTTAAGAAATGAAGGGTGGGACAGGGTAGGAAGGTAGTACGTCTTGTAAAAGAGAAAAACTAAAATTTACAACTTCTTTAAAGAAAGCGAAAACCTAGAATTTACAACAATTAAAATTTACACCTAGGAAGTGGAGGAACCAGTACTACCGAAAGTACCTCTACCCATCAGTACTGCATCACTGCCTTCGTTCAACTTTAGTTTTCTTGCCAGTAGTACTGTGTCATCGTCACCAAGCACTGCTTCTACAGCAGTGATGAACAAGGTAAATCTTTGTTGTATATCCTGAATACTTTTTTTGGATGAGTATACATCTGCTTTGTTGCATGTTAACTTCTTCCATGGTGCTCATGAAACTAACCAACATTAGTTTATATCCTCTTGAATAAATCAGGGCTGTATTCCGATTTGGAGGTGGGGGAGGCATGAAGTTTTCGTTTCGGCATCTGTCCATTACTTTACAAACATCTAGTTAACATAATTGTATAACTGCTTCAAATGCTATGGAGATTTTGTTGGGATTTTATGCCAGGTTAAGTAACTAAATTAGAGGTAGCATTAATGGTCATACAAGCCTAGTGTATAATATGAGCCTAGGGTGCAATAATTGGAATATTATTACAGTAAAATAAATGTTCATCTGTTCCAGAGTACTTGAAATATTTTTGTATATTTTGAAGCAGATATTCAGCAGGTGTTTGCTGAAGCTCTGACTACAATTGAGCTGAGTTAGTTAACGGTTCTTAAGCTGCCTGGTCTGCTTTTCCATATATTTAATGTATTTAGATCTAAGTAGCATCTCAAGTTTTTTTCTCTTGGTCTATGGGATTTGGTTTTGATAATGCTGTACTATGCACTCACTTGCAAGCTTCGTTTTCTTTTATTAGAACTCTTATCTGTGGATTAGAAAGAAACACCAAACATCAGATTTCCCAACTTCACTGCAGAATGTCTGTTAGATAGTGAATTCAGGTAGCTGCTATTGTTTCGCCAGGGTGTTTTTCTTTTAGATACAAACCTTACTTCTTTTGAAAATACAGGTACAACCAGCAAGTAATGTTGGCAGTCCTGTGTTCAGATTTTCATCTCCAATTGTGAAATCTACTGAGGCGGAAGTGCTACCTCCGTTGTCTGTAAGTAAAATAAAGCAAGCTCAACATTTTCGCAAGGCTTTAGTAGAATACTGCAGAACAATAAAGCAGAATTTGACCTGATAGTGGGGCAAACAAATATATAGGTTTCTGGCTTATAATTTGTCATCCAGCATGTATATGAAAAGTTTGAAGACTGGATAATCAGATTATTATTTGTGTGTGTAACTTGATTAAAGTTTCTTTAGTTTCAGAATCTGAAAAATCTCTCTTTTTTTGTAGCAGATTGGGTTTACATTTAGTGTTCCTGTTGTAAAATCAGCAGAGCTTTCTGGATCCAGTGACACACCAGTGACATCCTTACTTACTCTAGGTAACATAAATTTTAGCGTTTCAGATCTGAAGTGCTGGTTTTCTTTTTCTTTTTTTTGTATGTTAAATAGTAAATCTATCCTTTCTGAGCATGCTAGCAATTCCAGGCAAAGTGTGTTTTCAGAGACAGATCTGCTTTTAACCAAACTGTAATTATAAACTGTGGTAAACAAGGTAGAATTTTGAAGATTCTTAGACAAGAAGCACAAAACTTGGAAATTCTTGTTTCTAGCAAATGTGAATATTTTTAAAGTGGATTTCTTTGTGAAAGGTGTTTTTTGTTTTGCTTTTAAAGATACTGCCACTGTAAACAGCACCAGCAATAAGAAAGAAAAAGAAGAATACGATGGCCCCTCCAAACCTGCAAAGGTCTTAAAGGAAGGAAGTGTGTTAGACATTCTAAAAAGCCCTGGTGAGACAATGAACTCCTTTTAAAAAGATATTGCAAAAAATACGCTAGCATATAACAGCATTGATTTTTAAAAAAAAAAACACCACAACAACAACAAACCACTTTGTCACAGCTAATGCAGTATTAGCTATAAATGCAAACATAGGAGTGGATTATGTGAAATGCTGCATCTGTTAGGGTTGATCTCCCCTTCTGTTCTAAGTGGCTTTTACTGCTGAAAGGAAAACTGCAACTTCAAACCAGATGCATTGCTTCTCCTTTATGTGTTAGGATGTAATTGTAAATGAAGTATAAAGAGAATTAGGCAAATAATCAGTGTTTCATTTTAAATAAATAAAATGTATGGAATTGGAAAGGAGATGTTTGTAAAATGCTTTACAAACATTCCTCTCCCACTGTCACCATCTCTGGAAATTAAGAAGAGTGAAGACAGTTTCATTCCAAAAGATGTTTCAAAAGCTGCAAATCTTTTGGCTTAAATGATAACAGTTGCTATGGATTCAAATGTAAATTTTAAGAAGTGGGCTGTTTCACTTTAAAAACCCTTTTCTAATGTTTATTTTTAAGTAATTGCAATTGTTTTCAACTGTTTAATAATTAAAGTGTGTGTAGATGATGTTTTTTTTAAGAAAAAGGACTATTGAATTTGATCTTTTCCCATAAGCCTTCAGTTGCATCAGGACTTTTTTTATGAAGTGACAAATCTATATACTTCTTAAGAAGACAGCACCTTTTTCTATTGGAAAGAGCTAAGTGAGAGAAAATACACTGCGTTTTGTTTAAGGAAAGACCTATGAGTGAAGTGATGTTCATTTTCTTCATCAGTTTAAGAGAAGCAGGTTCTAAATCCACACTGTTCAAAGACTCCACTTCTGATATTAAAAAAAACCCAACCCCAAAACAACATAATAATAAAAAAATCCCTCTTCATTTTAGCATTACAAGTAATTTGTGCTACTATTTAAGATGCATTCCTGTAGCATTTTCTTTAGTATTTCCATATTGGTGGTTCTTGTTTTCTGTTAAAATTGGCACCTTTAAATAAGGAGTTGGCCTGTGTCCAGTGCATTTTGCACAAAGATTGTAGATAATAATTGTTCTGTTGTCTTCATTTCTGTTGCTTAATTAATACTCAGTATCTGTGGGGAATTACCATGTGGATTGCTGCTCCAAGTACCAACTGCTGTACAGCTACTAAAGTAAATGCGAGTCATCTACTGTGGCAGAAATAGCTTTAGAAATTTGATTCGATTGTGCATGGTGTCTTAAAATGAAATTGGATTATTTCTAGCCTGTGACGGACAGTCAGCTTTCAGTACTGTTTGTTCACACTTGTATCTACCAGTGAAGATTTGTATTTAAAACCTTGGAAATAGAAGAGTTAAATCAAACTTTAAATAAATGTTCTGTTGTGTCTCAGTGCAGCATATGAAATTTCATCCCTTTAGATAAGATATCCAAGGACTTCCTCTTGCGGTTAGTTGGAATGTATACTTGCAACCATTGGCACTTGGTTTAAATTTATGCTGTCTGGTATTATAAGTAACTTATGTGTAGTGAGGGTACTGCTTTATCAGTAAGATCTCTTCCTGTTTTATTTTTTTTCTAGGCTTTACGTCTGTGAAAACACACTCCTCTACATCTGCACATCCTGTTACAAGCACAGTGGTCTATACAAGGCCTGCAATAAGTAGTTTTTCTGCAGGTAAAGACACCTCTAAACAAGCACCCTTGTTTTGGCAGTCTGACGCATATGACCCATGTCTGCAAAACAAAGCCACAGATGGCAAATGTGTAACGTGTCAAGCTGCTCAAGTGTCAACACCTGAGAGCACGAAACAGACAATAAGCTCAAGTCAGTGTGTTGCCTCGAAGGCAGCAGTCCCTACAGCAGGGACACTGGGCTTTGAAGACAAATTTAAAACGGCACCCAACACATGGGATTGTGATACCTGTCTGGTCCAGAACAAACCTGAAGCTACAAAATGTGTAGCGTGTGAGACACCAAAGCCTGGAACGGGAGTAATGCCTGCTCTGACATTGCCAGTGGTCACAGACAACTCAGTGACAGTGACATCCTCCTCCAGCAGCACTGACACAACAGTCACTCTGGGGTTTGGAGACAAATTTAAGAAGCCAAAAGGCTCTTGGGACTGTGCGGTGTGTCTTGTATCGAATAAGGCAGAAGACAGCAAATGTGTAGCTTGTCAGTCTGAGAAACCAGGTATGTTGTTCTCTTTTCTGTTGTTTCAGTCTCAGCCTCTGTGCATTCTTTACAGAATAAAATACGTTGCATATAAAAAATATTTTCAGCAGCATGGCTGTATGCCAGACAGGATGGATTAGTGCCTGTCTGCAGGAGTGGTTACAGGCACTTTTGAGGTCTCAGCCCAGATTCCAGCCTGTCGCATGAATTGAACTGATTGTAAAATGTATTAGTGCAGAGCTGAACTGAAGCAAATATACCCTGCTTTGCAGCCGGTGAGGAAAGATGACTAAACCGCATGGCTTAATTAACTTAAAACCAGTTTACTCATTTTCATTGAGGGAAAATGAGAACTCCGTAGAAAGAGTTAAAAATTAGTGGGTTTTTTTCCTGTTCCAAAACATAAGTAGAAACAGTATTTACAGAGCATGGCCAAAAATGTCTCCACTCAGCATTTGTGTGTAATTGAGCAGAAGTATGAAGCTGGATTTCAAGACAGTGTAGTCTTTAACTAGTTGTCTTAAGCTAAAACAAAACCGTATGTTCAGCTATGCCTAGGAAGGCCAGTGGTAGCCTCCCAGAAAATGGGTGACCTTGTTCTGGAAGGTCAAGGTCCTTCCAGACCTTGGGGAGGTGGGCTTGTTTCCCATTATACGTGATTGTAATTGATTTTGAGTGTGGTGAGTGTATTGTTTTTAAGCACAAATAATTATTTTAGTGTTAATTTTTTTGGGCTCTTAGCATCACTTAATATACTATTATGTCAAAAAACACCTTTGCAAATAGATCTGGGGGTGGGGAATCCAAGATGGACTAGATTAGGCTTTTGTAATTATCCTGTACAGTAAGAGTGAAATTTCTTAAGATACTGCATTTCAGAGGGAGCTTGTTCTCATGGACTTTTGGCCTCAGAGTGATCAGCTGGCACTTTTGTCTGAGACTGTAGCCATTGCAAGGAGGAATTTTGGAAATGTGAGGGGTTAGCCATGACCATCATGGTACAGAGAATTGCACAGCTATATTACATCTGTCAAGGGGAAGAGTGAGGCAAGTAAAATGGGAGGATAAAAATTCTCTGGGTGTGCTGTGGAAGAGAAGGCCCATTCCTGCCTTTACTGTTTTGAAATTGAGACATTATCTTCTTCCCCTCTCTTAAATGCCACCCTCTGGTTTAAAACTGTAGGTGAACATGACAATTATGTGATGCTTTTACGCCTTCTGGATGTCCACTTCAGTCCTCACACTTACGGAGCTGAAGTTTTCTGCTGGGCTGCAGCATCAAGTGACATCTCTTCCTTTACAGGGGAGGAAAATCAGAAGGCAGGCGTTGTCTTTCAGGCCTCTTTATGGAGGTTTCTGCTGCGGTCGAAGACAGTGTAGCTTTTGTAGTGAACACAGAGTTGTGGGTTTGGAAGCTTTGAGTTCCTCTCTGGTTTTTTTGTCACGATGTAGTTTTGAACATGTCTGTCTTTGGGATTTGGTGATGAATTGTTCTGGTAAATTCTCAGCCTTGCATCACTTGACAGTGATCATTAACTTGAGTGGTGCTAAATTTGACTATGGCTTGTGTCACCAGAAATTCTTTTAGTAGTTTTAGTTGAGTACAGTACTTTTAATTTACATTTGAAATAGGCTGTGTTGCTGTATTGTATGAACTGCAGTTGCTGTTTAAACGTCATTGGTTCAATTTGTGCTTAAAATCATATATAGATTATAAAGAAGACTTCAGGTTTTTCTGTTGTTCACATTCTTGGATTGAGTTTGACTGAAATTAACTTGTAGTTTGATCGTTTTTTACTGTTATGCTTGTCCGCTTTGTAATTTAGTGAGCATTTAAGAGTTTCTTACAAAGTTCATGTTCAACTTTATCATTTAAGCAGGATGATTAACTGTCTTGCTTATTTCTCAGGGAGTTCAGTGCCTGTGACCAGTAGCAGTGTTTCTGCATTTTCTGCTTCTTCGGGAGGATTTCTGGATTTAGACAAATTCAAGAAGCCCGAAGGAAGCTGGGATTGTGAGGTCTGCTTGGTCCAAAACAAACCAGAAGCCACAAAATGTGTAGCCTGTGAAAGTGCAAAGCCAGGCACCAAAGCAGAGCTCAAAGGTAATACTTAATGAGAAAAACAAGGGTGTGCATCCTGCAATTTTTTTTTTCTTCTTCTTTTTCTTTTTAAGTACAGTTGTTTTTCCTTTGAGGTATGGCAAAATTGTTCATTTTTTCCTCTAGGAATATTGCTGAAGTAAGGTAATGTGCCTGTTTCCTCACCCTTTCCCCAGAAAAAGATTATGCCTTTTAGAGAAAAGCATATTAATATTAAATAATGGTATAGTTGTTCTTTACAAGCCATATGTGTTGTTCATTTGGAGTTTAGACTAAAAGCATGGTCTTTCAAAGAACCTAGCAGTATGCTTTTCAAAGCCAGGTGGTAGATAGAAAAATACCATTGCTAAAAGGTCTATGTAGAAAGGAAGTGTGGAGTTTTCTTGTTTGTTTTGTGGTTTGGGTTTTTTTCTTAAACAGTTTTGACTCTGGAAAGTTCAGGACTAGAATTCCAGCCATGTAGCTTACATGTATTGCATCATATATTGCAAACTTAACATTATTACTTACTTCTGCAGGTTTTGGTACTGTTACTGTGGTCACAAATGCTGCAATGCCATCATTTACATTTGGTGTCCAGTCGTCCTCCTCTGAATCTTCTCATACATTAGGTAGCACAGGAAATTTTAAATTTGGAGAACAAGGGAGCTTCAAGTTCGGCATTGCATCTGAATCTGCATCCTCCAACACTGTGACTGGGGCATTTAAGTTTCCTACTGGTTCAGGAGACTTCAAATTTGGAGTTTCTTCCTCAGACTCTAAATCAGAAGACAGTAAAAAAGAAGGCAAAAGTAACAGTTTTACCTTTGGACTTCCATCTGCAAGCAGTCAGGCTCCTTCAACATTTCAGTTTGGGACAGCGAGTCTGGGACAGCAAGAAAAGAAAGAGGAACCAGTTTTGGGAGGCTTTGGTTTTGGCACAAGTTCTGCTTCTTCTATAGCTACCAATGAGAATAAAACCGGAGTCAGTGGCTTCACTTTTGGAACCGTGGCAGAAAAGGAGGTAGCATCACCTGCTTTTGCATTTAAGAAGTCAGATGAGAAAAATGATGAAACCCTTTCAACGAAGGGAGGTTTCTCTTTTGGCAGTGTGGAGTCCGCACCTGCCTCACAGTTTGTTTTGGGAAGGACAGAAGAGAAACAGGACACTGTCACTTCTGCTGCTCCATTAGCGTTTGGAAAGAAAGCTGACAATGACGAGTTAAAGGCACAACCTATCTTTTCAGCTGGGACGGCTGAGCATACCAAAGAGGAGAGCACAGCAAAACCTATATTCAATTTTAGTTTCGTTAAACCATCAGAGAAGGAAAGTGAGCAGGCAAAGCCATCTTTTGCATTTGGGGCACAAACCAGTACTTCAGGTAAATGGAACATCTTTTGTCTTTGCTTGTCTGCTCATGTCCATCAAATAATACCTCTGAGGCCATGCTGGACAAAATCTGTGGGATTTGATATATATCATGCATTAGAGCTTTAGAAAAGGCTTAATTACTACCTGCAGTCTGTCGTTAGTTCTGATTGTTGATGTGTAGACTATACGTAGCAATTCCTTTTTAGATTTCAATGAGTTTTACACTAGGTTTAGACAAAAAAATTGCTACACCTTAAGGAACCTCTATTGCTTCTTGTATGAGCACAGAAGTTGTATTGTCTCAGTAGTAGCAGCTCAGCTGGTGATAAAATCTGAGTATGATGCAGTATAGAGGCCTCACACTAGTGTTGTTTTTTGTAGTGAAAGGGGATGAGAGAGGGAATATCGTATTCCCATGTACTTGCAGCTATGCTATGGGGTATACTGCTTTTTCTCTACTGCTACAAAGGTATAAAAATCACTTCATAGATATTACACAGTTTTGTATGCCTTTAATTTGTTGTAAGTCTGCAGTGGAGGATTAAAGTTCTTCAGTGGTGATCACTGTGTGGAAAAATTCTGGTTGTTAAATTCCATTTGTATGACGTAGCAACTGTGTTACAGAGAATAGAATTAGTTTCTAACTTCTGAAGTGATATGGAAGAGGACATCAGTAAGTAACCCTGAATAAAAGCCATACATAGGGTTATGCTGGTTTTAATTGCAGTATTCTTAGGTTGAACTGCTACTGAACAGACAGGTTTTTGGAGGATTGTGGGCTTTAGGAGAGGGGACATGGGCAGGTGGGTGGGTTCTGAGGTTGGGGTTGGGTTGGGTTGGTTTTTTTGGTTGTGTTTTTGTTTGGTTTTGGTTTTGTTTTGTTTTTTTTTTTTTACCTGCCAGGTAAAGTTCTGGAGTTCAGTTTAGCCATGAAAATTTGATGAAGCACCTTGTGCAAAAAGGAAATTTTAACAGGCATTCTGAAGAATGGTATAGTTCCTTAAAAATGGCATAGATGCAGATGGGGCCCTAACTGCTGGGAAAAAAGATAGTGGGAAATTGAAAACAAGATCACAAATTAATAACGAGAATTAGACCAGCAGCTTAGGGAAAGCTGAAGAATGACTAGCTTTAAAAGACAGCTCTATCCTAAATATGTAAAACTGCACTCAGTACTTTACAACAATGGTCTTAATGGAGGGTTGTTCTCTGTTGCTCCTAAAAGCCTGTCTTGCAGCTGCTTAAGTACAATGAACTTAAGCTTCCAAGAGTTAGACTGGAGGATGGTCAGCTTTGCTTGACTTAAGGCTGTAGGCACAGGCCTATATTTTCGAAGAAGTTACAAATGCAGCTGTATCACTGTGTTTTTCCATGCTTCATTGAGCAAAGGCATAAAACTGTTACGGGTGATTGATGTTCTTCTAAGAACACCTGAAATATATTTTTGTTCGAAGAGTTCAATGCACTGGTTAATACTGGTTCAAGTAAGGACAGCTAATGCTTAGAGTTTGTAACCAATGAAGCCTAGACTGCAGCGGTGTCCTTGTTCTTCGCAATTCTTCCATTCCTTTAATTGTGGATGGCAGCAATCAGCACGTTAAATCTGCATCTTACGTAAGCGACAGTAGCTGGGATAGTACTTAAGGTGTCAGGCAGGACTGCTCTTGTACCGTCATTGAAACGGGAGTCTACTCGCTGTACTTCGTTTGGCATTTCTGTGGTGCTTTACGAACTGTTCTGCCTTTCAGATCAAGGAGCAGCAAAGCCATCCTTCAGCTTCTTGAGCTCAAGTTCCTCCAGCACAGTCGTACCCACCACTTCAGCCAACAGCAGCAGTGTGTTTGGCAGCGCCATCTCTTCCTCAAATTCTCAGCCAGTTCCCGCTCCCTTTGTGTTTGGACAACCCAGCAACACTGTGAGCAGCTCTGTTTTTGGCAATTCTGCAGAATCTGCAGCATCTCAGTCATTTGGCTTCTCTCAAGAAAACAAGCCAGCAACCACATCTTCCAGCACTGGCACGGCTCTTGCTTCATTTCTCTTTGGTTCAGGAGCCAGCAGTACCAATACAGCAAATTCAGGCTTTACCTTTGGAGCCACAACTACATCAAGTTCAACAGGTACATTTTAAATAGACGCTTACCTCGTTTCTGCCATTACAAAGTGGACCAAGGAAATACTGTTTCATGAATATTTTACTTTGGAGAATGTGTAGGTGAAATGCATGGAAGTAGAGAAAAATATTGAGCATTTATATTCAACAATATAAATGGGGGCTCGGTTTTTCACAGACCATCTGGGAAATACAGTTTAGGAATGAACTAGCAGTGGCGTTGTTTTATGCCATCGACAGCCCTTTACTGGATTTCAATTTGTAGAGGAACTTTTCACCATGAGACTGATAGTTTCTTTCTTCTCACTATCAGTCCAGTGCTTATGGTTAGAAGTCAATGAATTACAACTTCCCTGATTTTTCTCTCCCATACCTAAAACTCTCAAGTGTTGTAAATAATGTAAAGATTTGCAAAATCCTTCCTTCACAAGTATATATAAACACAGTATTTCTATGTGCAATTGCTGCTGCTTAAGGACTGGTTTCTAATAAGCATTATGGCCAGTGTTTGTTAATTTTCCTAGCAATCTAGAGAAGACACAGAGATAAGAATCTAAAGTTTCTTCACATTTTACGTTCGCTACGTTCGCTACCTCACTGCATGAATTTAGCAGTATGACACAAGACTAAATCCGCGAAATCATCTGTATTCCTGCTAGCCTAGCAATACATTGGAAATAAAATTGAGCCTGTGAGGAAAAGACTTCATCTAGTTTGATCTGATTGCTTAACCTTGTAATTCACAGAAATTAAATTCGCACACTTTTTTGTTATCAGATACAGAGAGAAAACAGTCCTAAATTACAACAACCAGCAGATCAATTTAACCTGCTTACAAATCAGTAACTTTTAGTGTCATTTCATTAGTAGGCAATGCTGTATTTCAAACATCTTCACAAAGGATTTTTTTTAATGCAGAAGCATGTATTAACTTCTACTGTGTATCTGTTCATCTTCTTGGAAAGAAAAACAGTCAGCCATTCCAATTTATGGTGCAATAGAGGGTATTTTCTGTTGCATGAAGGCTGCTTAAATTGCCTTAATAGTGCTGTTTAAGACGTCCCCTTTTGTGTGGCAGATCTGCATGTTCAGAGTCACTGTTCAGCGACGTGTTTTCGTTTCGTTATTTCTGCTGGCCATGCAGAACCAAAGCAGCTGAACAAGTGAGCTGGTTGTCTGTTGATGTTATGTAGAGAATTACTCTGCTAAACCAAGTTTTTGAGTACAGAGAAATCACTGCAAGCTTGATTTGGCCTCCAGAAGTTGATAATGGTAAACACTTGGGCAGGGAAGGGTGCAGCTGCTGACAAGAAGGATTCACGTTCTCCTGATCCTAAGAAATCGGGAGCTGTTATTTTGCATGTTTGAAAAAGACATTTGAATTAATATTCCCTTGTGCGTGATATAGACAGCTTTTAGTAAATACAAATTAAAATGTACTATTTGTGGGAATCTGTTTCTAGAACATGAATGTTAACACAGTAAGTTGAGTCTAGACAACCAATGTGCTTGAGATTTAATTTTGTCCGACTCTCGTAAACTTGGTGTTTCTCATGTTACTTACAAGAAAGGTGCAATTCCTGTTGTGGCTGAGGGAGTATTTGTTTTGTATAGTCGCATAATTAGTTTGAAATTGAGATGAGTATTCAGCCACCGGACTTGGGAAACACGGGGAAACCTTTGTTTCTAGATTCATTCTTGTGGGGGGCAGGGAAACCCAGCATATACTGACATTTCTCTTCTGTTCCCCAAGGGTCGTCCTCTTCGTTTCTGTTTGGCTCTGGGCCTCCAGCGCCTGCTGCTGGGCCAGCATTTGGTGCCAGCCAGCCACCAGCGTTTGGCCAGAGCCAAGGGTCCAGCCAGCCAAGTGCTCCAAGTTTTGGATCGCTGTCGACAACGTTGTTTTCAGCTGGCACTCAGCCTGCTCCTCCTGCCTTCGGCTCGGTGACGAGCAGCACGCAGCCCTCTGTGTTCGGACAGCAAGCGACCCAACAGCCAGGGTTTGGCTCTGCTACCCCCAGTGCTGGTGAGTGCTGACCATCCTCTTCCCTTTTGGTCTCAAAGGTTCGATATTTTATTTTATTTTTTCATGAAGTGTACCTTAAATTATATGGAGAAAGACGACTTCTGCCTTGTGGGCGTATTTAAGAATTACCCTCCATAAAAACAATGGGTACAGAATTAAGTCATTTGTGTCTCACTCCGACTGTGGAGGATGTGCCACAGGTACGCCAGCTTCACAGTAAGCCTTCTCCACGAGAGACTTAGCAGACATGGAGGTTGCAACCCTACCACTAAATACTGGGGTTTGTTTTCTTGAGAAATCTAGTGATTAAAAGGGAAGTGTTGAAAACTGTGGAGTATTCACTGGTAAGACTGTACAAACCCGAATGGCAGAAGCACTGCAAAATTACTATTTTTGTATTTGTGAAGAGTAGTTACCTGACTTCGTTCGACTTTGGCAATTTATTTGGATTGGGTAAGAATATGGTCAGAATTATTTTTAAGCATTTATGGCTTAATACTTTAAATAAAGTTCTTTTTACTGATGAAGTATAAAATACTGTGGGAAGGGGGCAGAGAACGATCCCTACAATTTAAGTGTAAGAAAGACCTGTTCCACACTAGTAATTTAAAAAGATACGTATTTCGTATCATCATGTCAAATACTTAGAGGGAAAAGCCTCCTTTTTTCCTCTCAGAAGTTTTACAGAACAGCTTCTAAAGCAACCGACATTTTTGTACTAATCAGTAGATGAGTTGGCACATCACGTTAGTCAGTCAGTCTTTCATTAAGCCGGTAGTTTAAAGATAAAAATCTCCCTGGATTGTCTGTGTTGCTTATCGGTTACTTTGATGGTAGGGCTTTTTTTTTTTTTTTTTTTTAAATTTTTTTTTAAGACGAGGTGCTGTGTTAGCACATTAAATGAAAGGGAGTCCCTGGATCGACTGCATGAACGCAAGAAAGTTTACTTAAACATAAATCTACATGATTCAGGACTGTAACTTAAGACTTTATTAATAAACTTCAGTATGCACAGGTATAAACTTAATGGTGGTAACAGAAGTTAGCAAACAATTCATTATCAGTGTGCCAGCAGTGTTACTTTAAGAATCGCTTTATGATTCTCTGTGAAAGTGAATGAATTCTTGTATGTACCGTTCCTGTAGTAATCTGGCACTTTTGGTGCACTCCCCTCCCCCAACTTTGTCGTCTTGAGTGACCTGTAAAAAAAATTCATTAAAGGTAGTGGGAAGAACACGAGGATTTTGCCAGGAAGGATGAACTCAAATTTCAGCTTTTTTACTCCCTTCTGCTTCCACCCCATCTTCCCAGGTTCTGTATTCCAGTTTGGAAGTAATACTTCTGGTTTCAACTTTGCAAATAACCCCGGAGTATTTACTTTTGGTGCAAATCCTCCTGCACCAGCAGCACCGGCACAGCCCTCCGGCTCTTCAGGATTTTCGTTCAGCCAGCCTCCAGCATTTACAGTGGGGTAAGAGACCGTATCGGAATTTCACTTGAGCTTCGGGTAATGTCAGTGGACAGTGGTCAGCCTCTGCTCCTGTTAACTCATGAGGTGTTCAGATAAACCTTGGAGTTCGACACTAAACTGGGTGTCCTTCCTTGTATTAGCCCGACTGGCTAACTAAGCAACGGTACCTTTAACGGAGCCTAGTTGTCAGAAATACCACACATCAACCTATGTGAAATTGTCTTGTGCTCGAAAGGTAAAATCCGTATCGAGCCATTATGCTGCTACTTAACCTTCTGAATAAGAGAGATTTAATTGCTTTTGCTTTCTGGAACTCTCTTCCTCCCGTTCATCATATGCCATTCGTTGCCAGCCGGTAACTAGTGAGACAAGACTATGAAACGGTTGTGCTGGAGTATCTGCTCAGTGCTGCTACTGAATTTTCGCCTACACTGTCCTAAACTCTGAACTACTAATTTCTTTTGATAGGACTAATGGGAAAAATGTTTTCTCTGCCTCTGGATCTTCAGTTTCTGGTCGGAAGATAAAGACTGCAGTTAGACGTAGAAAATAATCGCCCGATCGGTAAAGCAACTTTCGAAGCAGCTACTACCCTGCATTGTTCAGTTGTTGGGATCGTACCTCATGCTGGGTTAGCTGAAGTCAGATCTGCCTAAAGGAATATAAACTCTGCTGCCCTTTCCTTCCCTGGTTAGTTTTTTTTTTTTCTTTCGGTAACGAATAGAGTTGGCAAGAGAGCCGTTCTCGAGCAAAACTATTTTAGACTCCAGCAAGTTCCTTCTTTCACTGACTCGGCATGGTCTGGCTGTAGCCGCGAGTAGAGCCTGCACAGTGAATGGCTTGTACAATACCTCTTCATCTGCACCACTATGTGCGCTCATCTGCGTTTACTGACGCCTCGAAATTGTAATTATATCAGCGAGGGATGCTGTATAGAGTAGAGTGTTGATAACGAATGATTTCTATGCTGAGTTTGTGCCGGTGTATGTGTGAAGTGAGTGAGTTTGGGTGTATCGTGCACTAAAATTTTCTGATAGAGGAAGACTGATTAAAGGATGATCCATGCTAAGGACTTGTTAGATCTGTAGTTCTTCATTTAATAATTATATGCTATTTCTATATTTTCATTCTTACAGCCCTTTATCACGCGTCTCGCCTTTGTTATTTTATTATGAAACATGTGTAAATACAATTTTGTTGCTCTATGTACTTTTTTGGCATAACAAATCTGTGAAATTGAAATTTTAATTTTGTGTGTTACGGCCATTTTTGTTTAGTATTGTCTCAGATTTTATGTAAATCCCATTATTCAAAGTTGCCTAAATCCATTTAGAAAATCTTTAAAATTGGGAATTCTTAAAGTAAGTTTATTGGCTTTTCTGATCCATTTTTGTTTGGACCAAAAACCAGTATTGTACAAAGTATTAAGTATATATTTTTATATTTACTGAAATGGACTGTGGTGACTTTGGATAATAAGGAAAAGTTTAATATTAAAGCCATGTTTATTACAGTATAATTAACATGTTAAACCATGGGATAAATGCCATCAATAAAAACGATGAAATATTGCCTGGCAGTTTTAACTCTTCCCTGAAGGCATCTGCAGCTCTAACTACAAGATGGTGCACTCGGCCTGAGTCATCGATGTCACATGCCTTCTCTAACCTCTGCTTTTTGACAGTGACACCAGCGCTGATTTTAGAGGATCTTAAATTAGTTAGAGGTTCCCTGGTAGGAAGGGGAGTTTTATTGTAGACTTAAGCTTGGAGCCATACATCAGCATGGCAGCAGTCTAGCTGCAATGGTTGCAGTCAATTTTTATATAGCTATTAAAAAAAAAAAAGCACTAACAAACCTTCACCACTGTTCTAACTGAGGAGGAAAAAGTGTGGTTGGTGCTGCTGGGGGACTTCAACCACCCCGACATTTGCTGGAAAAGCAACACGGCCAGCTGTAGGCAATCCAGGAGATTCCTGGAATGCACAGGCCACAGCTTCCTAAGCCAGGTAATAGACACCCCTACCCGAGGGGATGCGATACTGGGTTTGATGGTCACCAATGCAAGTGAGCTCATCAGTGATGTCAAGACTGGAGGAAGCTTGGGCTGCAGTGATCACGTGTTGGTGGAGTTCATGCTCCTGAGGGACACGGAAAAAGCGAGGAGTACAGTCAGGCCCCTAAACTTTAGGAAAGCAAACTTCCAGCTCTTCAAGGAGTTAGTCAGAAGGACCCCCTGGGAGATGGCCCTCAGCGACAGGGGAACGGAACAGAGTTGGCAGATCTTTAAGGACACCTTCCGTAGAGCACAAGAGCTATCAGTCCCCATGTGTAAAAAAATCAGGCAAGGAAGGGAAGAGACCAGCATGGCTGAGTCGAGACCTGCTGGTCAAACTAGAGTAAGAGGGAACTGCACAGGCAGTGGAAGCAGGCACAGGTGTCCTGGGGGGAATACAGGGAAATGGCCTGGTTGTGTAGGGAGGAGTCAGGAAGGCCAAGGCAAGGATGGAGCTGAATTTGACAAGGGAGGTAAAGAATAACAAGAAGGGCTTCTACAGATATATCAACCAGAAAAGGAAGGTTAAAGAAAGCGTACCCCCCTTGATGAACAAGAAAGGCGAACTTGTATCAACGGACAAGGAGAAGGCTGAGGTGCTCACCAACTTTTTTTACCTCGGTCCTCACCTGCAACCTCTCTCCTCACCCCTCCCGAATTCATGGACCAAAAGATGGGGAGCAGGGGGGTAAAGCCCCTCC